TACTCGCGCGTCGTGCAAGATTTTTCATTCGCGGCTGGGCACTCGCGTGCGCGAAATCGCGGATGCCAGACACCCGCGGACCGATCGATTTTCGTTTCTCATAGACCGTCTCTTGCTTTTTCATCCCCGGTGCCGATATATCAGTTCGCAGCCAGGCGAGTTGGAAACTAATATTTAGAACTATAACCAACCTCGGCCCAACGTCGGCAAAAGTATACTGCTGGGAGTACGTTAACGTTCAACCGCATGGGGTCAATATTACGCGGGTAAATTATGCGTCTAATATCGTTTTACTTACGTAACCCTCTCTTTATTAAGCCCCGTTACGTTCTGCTACCAAAGCGTTACGTCGAATCAACATTCTGCCCTGCGCCGAATAATACGTTTAGAGGAACAAATAACGGCCCCGGTTACGTAACTCGTAAAGAACGAAAACGCTGTCGGTATATTCACCAGAGATTACAGATATTCCACCATATCGGACGCGACTCCTGTATCGACCGATGGCCTGTACATACATTTCGGTATAAAGCACAGTCAAAATCTCCACTAGTACTACCAGTGTAAAACGCAATCTAGCAAATCTCTCTCTCTCTCTCTCCCTAACTTGTTCCAATTTTTCCTTCTTTTCCTTTTTTTGTTTTATTTAGAAAGATCAAATGCCATAAATTTTTCGGCACACGTCGCACGAAATGCATTCCGCACTTGCAGATATCTACGTTTAATCCTTGAAAGGCGAATTTTTGACAGTCGTTAGAGATGCACGAGGATCACTTTCATCCATATATTTTCCTGCATTTGAGTAACCAATTTAACTCGTTTTTGGTATGATGTATTTACGAAGATTGCGTTTTCCGTTTGAATCTCTTGATATTTGCGGGACATTTAACCCTTTGACAGCATGACGAAATCACGTGTTTCGCCCTGGACGCCAGGGAAGTATTTTTGTTATTTAAAGCATATAATGAAAATATAATAGTAAATTGGTGATATATAACAACATTCTTACCTAATGCAGTGTTTATCTTATTCGCAGTCACAGGTGACCACCGGTGGCGCCTTGGTAACGGTTGACAGTCTACTAGCTGTCAATTTTCAGTCAATTTTTACAATTGTAAGTAGTTCAACGTCCACCGTGGCCGGTTATATATTACTAACGTGGCATTCAAAGCGTTAGAAAGGCGCCAAAACGATCCTCTTCGTTAATTAATCGTCGATCCGCGAATTCTCCACGGTTCAACAGCCACGACGCGTCGCGCCCCGAGATGCAGGAACTTCGAACGAGAGTTTACACAGCCGGTCGTAGCGCGATGGAAAGCTCCTCGAGCGTCGTTGCACGGCCGGATTGCGAGCAATTTGGCAAATCTATGAGAAATCAGGAGTCCTTAAGCCGCCGTCGATCAAGCGTTCGCCAGCGACTCCGCGTTTAAACGCCGGTCTGGCCCCGATTAGGCGACGTCTCGCGTCGATCCCGGCCATCAGCCGAAACGCATCGCAGTCATTAAGCCGTGGATCGATTAAGCAGCATCGCGGGGATGTTTGTACGTCTACGGTGGGCCGGTGCTGTCTGATTTATTAACGAACTCGAAT